TTTTAGTCGCTTATCATTCCTGTTTAAAATTCCTGTTGAAAGAGTTTAGAGAGTTCAGTCCTGTTGAAAATCATTCGTTTCGAAAATGTTTTTGATAAATGAAGCATGATAAATTAATTCAGTTGTTTGCATATTTTGCAGAGTAATCGAACTGGCACTGAGAGAATACAAATATCGATACGCCCTTCTTTTTTACGTTGTTTCAAATCGTATGGGAAGTGAACGAATGGCTCAATATCTGTTGAATCATAAAGATGTTGTTTTGAATTCGGTGAATCTCGATGAATACTTGGACGCGATGACTTCAACATGGTATTCAGAATTACGTCTCAAACAGGCACGACGCTTTCCTCTCATCTTCTTGTTTGTTTCGCTGACGGAATACAGTATGCGTCCCTTCCATTCATCATAAGCTTCTCCTCAACCTCTGATTAACTGCATGTGCTATCAGTGAAGATATTATCGCCTGTACGTCAACCGTTCCTCAATATTTTCAAATGGATCCCTTTCATATCTAGAAAGGCATCGGATTGAAGATAAGACAAAGCAAGGCGTCGTCGTACCACTTGAAAACAATTTCTTCGCAATGAGTTTTGAGGGGAGAGTAAAGGAGAAATAGGGGAATTTGATGTGTTGAATACAATATTTGGATATGTTAACGGAATGTGATCCATTCATCGTCATCACTGACATCGCTCACTTAGCGGATTTGGATTCATCTAGCTGGACTGAGTCAATTTCTTTCTTCTGTGCCCAACGATTCGTGATTCTAGAAACAACAGCACCATTAAACCATAAAGGCTTTCCTACCAACCCGAGGAATGGAAGTTACAAATCTGCCTCAGCTAGAGATAATCACCCAAATAAGTCAATAACGACCTTCATTATCCATGTTACTCGACATTATCGAGATATTCTCATAGTAAAGACTTCAAATGCTGTTTCAGCTTGAGGATCTCCAGAGTCAATGCGGACCGTTGACTGAACGGCAGCAGGCTCTATTCGAGAGATACCTGAACCGAACGCGAAGTAATGTCGAATGGTGGGACAAATATTATCCTGATCTGTGTGAGTTTATTTATTTATTGTCAATGATCATGTAGTAAATCGAGCATGTGGATACGAGCGGAACTAGTTCACGAAATGACTTGATCTTGTGCTTTGGTTTGGGGTTAGGCATCATCTGAAGATGAGCTTGAGCCTCAGTGAAAGTTCGTGTTAAGTCTTGAAGGGTCGACAATATGCACAGAATGATGTGAGGTATTCTGTTGTAACACGATACCCGTGAATTCACTCATATCATTAATTGTTAATGTGATGATACCGATAAAGATATNAAAAAAATGCACTAGGCGTTATATAGATCGTTCAAGAATTCAGCCAAGGTTTCCTTATTCGTTGATCAAAAAAAGTTTTCTGATCAAATGGATACTCCATATTTCAGCAAGAGTTTTTTATGATGCCTTCGTGATCGGACCGTTCGATATGGAGAACTGGAACACGCGAGTACCGCGAAACTTCAAACCCTTCTCTTATAATGTCAAAATACGACCGAATTTCCCGGGATCTGCTGCCTATCCGTGGTATAAAAATATGACATTTGATGGTGAAGTAGAGGTGAGTTGGGCTGCTTTTGCGATGGAATCAGCCTTCTAGAGGAGAGCTGACGATGCGACGATAATTTCAGATGCATTTCACAGTGCTGAACAACGTCAATGAAATCCAATTGAACTCACACAGAATGGTCGTAGAAAAATGGAATATGAAGCTTACCGAACAATCAACCAAGAGATCCTATGAAATTGATGATGTCGTCAAGGATTTAGAATACGGTCGGTCCGGCTCAATGAAATTTTATTTCAATGCTGAAAATTTGTCCATTTTCAAGTTTGAACCAGGCGACAGGAACGTTAAAATGGTTTGCCGGCAGATCATCCTAGCTTATTTTCCTCCATGGACATGAGATTTTAGCCAGAAACTACAAAATTTGAGAGATTCGGCAGCTAGTAATGCGAAGCAAAACAGTCTAAGCCTATCCTTCCCTATGCATAGTGCTAAGCTTGATCAGAGGACCAATATATCCAGCAAACTTTTTTTTTCACTGCTACGTTAAAGGATGCTGTCAAGTTGAGGGAATATCTATATGAATGCGCATAATCTCATTCCAGCATTCCTTACACTCAAAACTCAAGCACCGCTGACCGCTGGAAGTAATTGGACGCTTTGGATTAAGTACACTGGATTTGTGTGGGGCGTACCAAGTAAGGGTGTGTACACAAATACCAACTACTTTGAATTCAATAACAAAAAAGCGTAAGTTCATTCAGGAACATTGCATTCTGTCGGTATTTTGAAGTTGACCATCAAAGAGATATTGCATACAGAATCTGAAGAATGAATTGATCCAATTCCTTTTATCGCACCCTTCTCGTAAATAAGCAATTGATGACACAAAATTATTTTTCTGTAGATGTATCCAAGGTTTTTATTCAGATGGATATTTTCGACATACTTCGAGTCTGGTCCAAGTGCACGTTCATTGGTGCCGTGTTTTGATGAGCCTGACTATAAGGCTCGATGGCAAATGACACTCGAACATCCCGCTGATATGATAGCGCTCGGAAACATGCCCGATCAAGGATTCACTATTCAAGCAGATGGTAACTAAAGCCTAGTTACGAATTTGCTGCGTAATTATGATCCAAAATTTTATTTCCAGTTGAGTCCTCAAAAAGCCGAGCAATTTTTATGCATGAAGAATACGCAATCATGAAATGAATTCGACATCAACACAAGTATCTCATTGATGCAAATGAGGACTGAATTTGTC